TGATTTCCCAAACAGCTAACAGGCTGCAGGGACTTCAAAGGCAGGATCAAACATTTTCTGTATATTTACTGAATACTATACTAGTAAAACTACAGGTCTCACAGTTGAGAATTTTTTCTGTACTACTACTGATAAAAATTAATATTCTCAGAAAGAAGCTGAGTCCTGCCAATTTGTGAAATATCACTGATTGAAGAGCTCCAGGACAGCATTTACCCTGCAGCATGGACGCGCTGCAAAGAGGGAAAGACTCGGAGAAGCCATGGAAACATATATAACTACTGCAAACCCCACAGCACTGGGACTGACCTGCTCTCACTGTAGTCTGGTCAATCCTCTTCACTGTCAGCTAAATTATGTGACGAAAGGCTCATAACAAACACCACGTGCAGGGTTTACATATGCCCAGACAAGGGTTATTTGCTCTGTGTCACGTTGTTACACACCTAGAGACAGGGCTCAACACCCAGGGCAGGTACCGCCTAAGATGCAATTAGAGAAAGTAGCCACAGAGCTGGTCTGTGGTCCCAGAGAAGCTGTGCAAGAATAACCAGGTTAGATAATTGACATGTGCACTCATTCAACTCATAAGCTGCCACCTCCTCCCCCCCCCCAGTTAAGTCACTAATTCAAAGTACTGCTACCTCTGTACATCTTTGAAGGTTTATTACACATCGGTGTAAGCAGCTGAAAGATCAACACCTTGTTTGTCAGTAGAAACACGTGGAATTTGGCAGAAACCCTGCTATCCAGTGGAACAGGGATTAGCTGTGAGGCAGATGTGACTTATTCGTGTCTGCATCACTTTCAGGAACTGTGATTCATACTGCACAGTGAGGTGGCATCACAGCACTACAAAGGGCTGTGAAGTCTACCTATTGGTGGAAGGTACCCTACCTGCAAGCTTGTGTAGCAAGACTTGAGATACCTGCCAATTTTAGTCCCAGACCTGATGCCTCAGCTTCAGAAAGAACAGGGAGTTTTAAGGAATAACAGTGAAAGGTGAGCAAAATGGCTTTGAGCTGTCAGCACAAATGCACGCAAAACGTAGATGGAGAAAGCAGCTTGAGTTTTCACTTTGTAGCACAGTTAGCACCGGTTTATGCAATTTTCTGTGTGTGGAGAACTCCAGGCACAGATTGTCATGATAGGGACTGGAATACACACTGAACCACATACAGCACACGTGGGTGCAATTATTATGTCTGGAACAGCAACAGCTTTAAGTGACATTTTGCTAGAGTGAGTGGCTAATCTAATCTCTTCCCCTTCAGTCTCAACATTGGAACTCATGGGAGAAGAGCCCGCTGAACCAGTGAAACAGGATAGAGACATAACAACTCCAGCAGCTGGTGAATAAGACACTTAAAACAAGTAATGTCCTGAAAAGTGAACATGAGCTGTATTCATGCCAGTAATCCCTACTGGGGAAAAGCCAGGCAGGAAGTTGACAACTGCAAGACGCCAAGTCGAGGAAGAAAAAAGAAAACTCAAATGAGTTAGTTTTAGGAGTATGAAGTACTCCAAAGGTTACTAAAAAAACTGCGTGAGTGCTACAAGAAAAACAAAAATAGATTTTGACAGGCAGGACACCGTTAACTGCAAATGGCCTAAATACCAAAGGTGTAAGAGTGACACTGAACAGGGTCATGGTGCACCTGTGCTCCCAGCTGCACTGCACCTTCTACAGGCTGGGCTTCCCGCTGCAGCTTTACTTCATCTCCAAGGGGAAAACTGATTATTCCTCACTGGTTTCTGCTTACTTGCTCCTGCCCCCCCTTTTCCAATGCAGTTATTGCCTGCCCCCCACTCTGCCTGGGCAGCAGCATCCTTCTGGCAGCAGAGCTGGTATTGCCCTGGAGGTTGAAGCTGTGCAAGTTAGCCCAGCTTCCAGCTGTCCTTACACCCCTTCCCTCCCCCATAGCACGAGGCCAGCTGTTACAGCTTCAACGGTTTTATAGACATGTACACTGACCTCATGGCAGAAGCTGGGAGACATGTGGGATACCACAAGCCACCCCCACCAATAGGCAGTGAGACACCACCCCACAGCCCCTGTGCAAGCAGGCAGCGACGCCTGGTTCAAGACTCCCTCCCTATTGTAATTATTTTTGCTCTGTGCAGAGATTTATCACATGCAGCTGCCACAACTTGTTTACAAGACACAAAAGCCATGAAAACAAGGTTGATGAAGTCTGCGTGTGAGCTGTTTTCCCTGGCGTGAATTTGTCATACCTCTTAGCTCGCTGACGCCCTGGCTGGCCACACAGTCTCCAATAACACACAGCAATGCCTTCCCTTTAGCTTCAGAGTAGCCAAAGTGTGAGTTTTCAGTCAGAGGTCAGGTTTTAACAAAGCTGCTTTGCAATTAGGTTTATTATTGCTTCAAGAACAGCAAAGCTGCCCATGTTGTCTCATTGTTTCTTTATCCTTCTTTTCTTTTCCACGGTAAAACAAGTTTCAGAAATAAAACTTTTCCTTTGCTCTATCAGGGATGTACAACCAGCACGTGAAGCCTTTGGTTTGTTACTAGGACTCCTGCTCAGTTCTGGATCTTAGCTCCACCCAATGCCCTACATCTACCTACCTTTGATAATTTTATCTGAAGTTACTTCAGGTTTCTGCTCAGAAATCATAGGTTCAGGCAAAGTTCAATAGTCTGCACCAAAACTATCAATGCTATAGATTTCAGGAAAGCAGAAACTCCCTTTTGATACATTTTAGTGGGTACTCAATGAGTCATTTCCTTCCTCCAAGTTAAATAACACCTCAGGGTAAGGAAAAGCTTTACACAGTGTGTCAGGTGCTACTCAGCCAACGGTGTCTCACTTATGACTACAGTTGAACCTCTAGGTGTAACCTCAACATAAGTAATAACTTAAAAAGCATATAACTAGCCTCAAGCAAAACTGGTCACAAGTGAAGTTCCCAGGATAAGTCAGTCAGCAAAATGGAAATGCAGTGCTCATCACACAGACAGGACTTTGGTGCTCATTTACACTAACACCATTTTGTGTGGCATAACAGTAGATGAAAACAGCAGAGACACCACAGGCTTTTACTTTCAATGAAAACTGTTAACCTGAAAGGCAACAGCTTTCTTCCTCATCCTATTTTCATTTTCAGTACTGCAGCTGCTATAGTGGAATTACAGAACTGGTCAGCTCAGCCAGCAAAGCATTTTTTTTCTTTCTAAACTTGCTGACATTTTTTTTATTTTAAAAGGGCAGAGTAAAGAAGAGTAAAGTTCTCTGAAAATGCCCTTTAATGATCCAAGTGCCCCACGTCTCCTCTACCCCACAGCACACCAGCAAAATGCTCTGAAAAAAGAAAACTAAAGAGGAAAATGTCAAACAATTCAAATTAAACAATTCAAACATTTGTGTGAGGTTGCTTTTCCTTCATCATGGGTGTAAGGAGTGTTGCGATAAAGTTCCTTCCTGCAAGGACAGGAAAGAACAAGGAAGCATCTCCCAAACCTTTATCGAAGATAACATTCAGCTTAGGGTCTCTAGCACCCCTTGAGATAAATCACCTGTGCCAAAAAAGCATGTCTATTGACCAACTTTTCCCTCAACATTTACCTCAGTCATAAAGAAGCATACTTCCATTTCATTTTATAATTAAGCATTAAAGAAACCTAACCAAACTATTATAATACATACATCGGTATCCCCAGGAAAAATAGCTTTTAAGTATCAAGTACAGTGTGTCCAGAGCGATAATACACAAGGCTCTTTCTGTACTCACATAAAATTCCTTCAAGGCAGAGTATACAGCCATCTCTATGTTCAAAATTCTTTTCCAGCTTTATTTCCATAGTATTTTAAAAAAATAATCCCATATTCATAGAGTATATTAGGATGACTCTGTGTTAGTGACGCTGATGCAGACAGGAGTAAGCCAATGTTTACTATTTGCCATTTTGATTTTAAACTTGAAGGTTAAAGGAAGGCAGAAGTTCAGAATTTCAAAGAGCACTCCAGAAAACAAAGTATTTCAGACACAAAAAAACCACAGAGGCCACAGCAAAACAGAATGCATACATATTGTAGTCTGGATATTGCAGTCTTCTTCTACCCACGATATCCTTAAATTCATCAACTCTCCTGCTCCACAAAGCCCTCCCCCAACCTCCCAAATAGACAAATGGTTTGTTTTTAAGGATTAGCCAGAACCGATTTTTTACCCTGGAGGTCTCTTATTTCACTGTTGTTGGAAGGATAAGGGTGGGTGACTGACATTCAAGTAAGTTGAAATGTGACCTGCAAGTCTTCACATTTTTCAGTAATAAGTCATTTTGATAGCAAAGTCCTTTTCTGAAAGGTAATACAGATTCTGTTGGCAAAAAAATACACCCCAATACAACAGGGACCTTTTCTACATTTGAGCCAACCACCTGTTTAAGCATCTCACAAAGACCTGGCTTCCCAGAACTCAGATTTCAACACAATACAGTCTACTTTATTTCAATTTGCTAGAATTACTGAGTAAAAACCTTGTCATTGCTAGTCCAAGAAAAGTAAGGGTAGAAAGTCCTTGCCCTCCCCCATCAAAATGTGTCAACAGTCATGTCTACTACCTCCATCACAAAAATCTGCTTCTAAAGAACACTTGCCCCAACCTCTCTTCTGGTCTCTTCTTTTCATCTTCATGGACCAGAAACCTTACCCGTGGACCATCACATTTCCCAGCCCTTAAGTACTTCTAGGACCCAAAAGCTGGAACTCTTAGAGGGGCCTAAGATAACCCTCTGAAATTTAGTCAGTTGCCTACACAGCTCCCTTGGGCCCCTTAAAAAATTTCAACATACCAGAACACAGGTACTTCTGGTCTACTTTTCAGCATTCCTTTAAACATCTGGTTAACAACAACAGCTAGCACAGCTGTCTAAACCAAACAAAGTCAGCGTGAGCTCAAAAATATTTCTACCATTTATTTCAAGGGTAAGCTGTGTTTTCTGCAAAGCTCGTATGCAACAAAATACTCTGTATACATAATTTTTAAAGAAAATATTTTATTACATTATGGGAAAAAAGCATGATCATCCAAAGTTTGTATTGTTAAAAAAATTGAAAATTTAAACAGCATGTCGGTATATTCCGTTCCACGTGGGAATGATAAGAAGACTCTATATCATTACTAGATATTGCACAGTCTGAAAGAAACGAAAACAAATCACATGATCTTGGGAACCATCTCACATTATGAAAAACCTACAAAGAAAACATTAAAAAAAAAAAAAAAAAACAAAACACACAATCCTTTCTTTCTACAGTAGCTTTAAGTTTATAATTCTTGGAATGACCGTATTCCACTGAAGACCATCTCAGTGACAGGAAGCTTCATTTCAGCAATCCCCTTGTGCAAATAAGATTATTAAAAAAAAAATAATAATAATGCAGTGAAGTCTTTTGATATTGTGTGGGTGGCAATAACCACACAGCTGTTAGATCCCTGCCTGGTAAAACAAAACGGGGAAGGAGAAGGAAGGGGATTTAGGCCATAAGTTTCGCCTGCAACTCCATTTCTGCCGCCCTTTTGAGTGCAACATCCACCAGTAGCTGAAATCCACTAAAATCCTGGTTAAGGTCTGGTGGTGTTGGAGGAGGAGTGTTAAAGAGCCCACTTTGTGTGTTTGCACCAGGTCCTAGTTTAGACGCGTCCTCATGGCAGGCAAGGGGGTTGTCTGTGAAGCTGCCGGCTGGGGGCTGCTGCAGGTCCGTGGTCTGGCCTACATCAGCTGGCTGGCAAAAGTGGAAAGGGGCATCTTTCAACGCAGTCACAGTCGTATGGCAAATCACCGATGGCCGAGCCAGGACCGATCCCGGGGAAGCTGGCTTGGAAGAGGACACAGTCTTGCCAAGCGGTGCAGCAGCGGGAAGGAAGGCAGTCTCCTCCAGCAGGGGAATGTAGTTCTTTGTGCTGATGGCAGACTCCATCAGGCTGCCCTCGGGAAGCTTGGTCCCTCGCCGCGAGATAGTGAACTGATTTGGGTCTTTGCCATCCTTCCTCAACATGTCAGGTAAGAGCCTGCGGCGTGCATTGATAAACCAGTTGCAGACCTGGGAATAAAATGACATCTTAATTTCTACCTTCATTCATTTCCAACTATGTGCCATTAGAGCCACTGGGTTAATTAATCCCTCCAAGCAGTTTCCTTCACTACACAACAAAAGAAAGACCTACTGACAAGTTCTGACACGCCTGGCAAAGGCCCTTCCCTTGTCCTGGCTGTACCACTGACTCCCTGCTCCTGTTACAGAAAGCCCCTGGACATCTGAAGGCTTTGAGAAGCCCAGACTGATGGGTTAGCTTTTAACTCTGTGCACACACATTAACCTATTGGCTATTGTTCCCTAGCTCAGGTTAATTAACAACAGCAAAACTTTTTCTCTCTGAAGAGAGCCACTCCTCCCTCCAATAGTTACTGATTTTCCTTGTTCAACTGACTGTGTCGACAGACATAACATGAATTACCTCATTTAAGTTTGTCCTTGTTTAAATATCAAACCAGTTTCCTGGGCAATACAGGATAGTTTATAGTTCAATGTCTTTTTTCTGTTTACTACATAAAGAAAGTTTTTTTTATGATGTTATATTAAGGAAATCTTACTTTATAGACAACTATGAAATTTCTACTAATTAATTAATATGGAAAAATAAAGCCCAGAGGTCAACAAGATTGCTCTCTATTTAGCACCTCTCAAAACCAAACCCAGGTTTACCTAACTTCTCATGCAGCCACCTTCCCACAAGGGGTGAAAAGCAGCAATGGTCAACAGCTATTCCACCAAAGATGATCGATCACAGAAGATGAGAATGATGTGTCCAAGGGACCTCACAGATGCCAGTGGCATTCCAGGATGAGAATCCAAAGTAACCACACAAAAGCCTCACCATACCTGTACTAACACACTTCAGTAGCTCTATCCCGTATAGGTTGTTCCACTGATCATAATGGAAGTCATCATACACATAATTACATATGTGCGTGTTCTACAGGAACGAGCCTCAAGTTGCAGTTTAAGAAGCAAAGAGTTATATGTTAAGCTGCATATCTATCACCATAAAACCTCTGTTGACAAATAAATACCTTCCTCTCACAATAAATTACCTTGTACAGACATTTTATGTCTTTTGGGACACGATTCCACAAGAAATTAGCATACATGCTCAAATTCGTAACTGTTTGTTCTCCCAGAAAAATAATTTTATCCCAACAAACAAAGATCATCGTAACACACAATCAATCTGTATCTCTCCTTACAAGTGCCATCAGCAGGATAGTAACAATAAAATAGGAAATCTCACATGCAGTGTAAACATTTGTATCCATGAGTAGATCACAGGTAAATTAAAATAGAAAACAGCTCCTTCTGAAGAGAGAACTACTTTTTAAAATACCTGTAGTGTGGAAAGGTGTGTTTGCCGGGATAACAGCGCTTTTTCTTGCTCTGAAGGATAAGCATTGTAGCGGTGCTCATACAGCCAGTCCCGAAGAATCTGCACGGATTCCTTGGGCAGGTTGCCACGTCTCCTCCGTTTGCCTGAGCCAGCAGATGAGGAAAGATCCAGTGGGACATCCATAGTGTCATCATCCTCTGTTTCACTGCCTGATATTGCAACTACACCTACAATTACAAGATAAGAACAATCAGCCTCCTATATTCATAAACTATTCAGCTCCAGCATTGTATGGTACAGACATTTTATATTAACTGTCTTCACTACGAATGAGGGTATAGGTTCTTATACTGGAGATTCGTCCCGCAGCGTTAACTTGTCATGCTGTAGCTTTTCTGTCAGCTGAACAAAAAGTAGCACCAATGATCTGTTCCTAAAGGAATTCTTCTCTGCAAACCTTCATTTCCTTGTTCCCCTGGCAACCTTTTATCTGCTGCACGTTATCAGATAGCTTCTATCTAATGCCAATATTGTCCAAATTTGCTTGCTATGGTATGCATCCTACGCTTTTCTTCAAGGATAACAATCCAGTGTCTGGGCAGAAGGTCAATAATGAAGAAAGGAAGAACTTAAAAACACCCAACTCAAGCAATGGGTTATTTAATTACTTCTTAGCATGCTGATCCTTCCCTCCTGGGAGAGATTGCTTGTAGATTTTATAAATGAATAATTATATCTATTAATAAAAACTAATGGAAGAAGGGAAGAAGAAAGGGAAAAACTGTATCTGCCCTGCCCCCCAAAGGGAATTTTCACTTATGAAGGAAAAAAAGTGCAAGAAAAGGAAAGAATCAGGTGCCTAAAAGTCCACCAGCTCTAATTTAATCGCATTCTGTATGTTTAGGTGGATTTGTTTTAAAACCATCCTGCTAATTTTTTCAACTTTATGGTTTTCATCTCAAATTTTAATCTATGGAAATGTGTTCTGTGCTATGCTCACTACAAAGTCTCTGAATTTACAAGTTAACTGCATACCTTGTCTATTCAACACAAAGGAAGAGGAGATTTCAAAATCTGATTAACCCTTTATACATACACCACACTACTAGGAACATGAAGCTATGGTATGTAAAGCAAACAAACAAGCAAGTATTCAATAGTTAGGAAGGCTACAATTCTACTCCTTTGGTAGGATACACAAGTCATTAGTACTATAAAATACAACAAAAACCAGGCTTTAAATACTCACCAGGTTAAATTTGCCAGAAATTTTAGGAATCTTACATAAGATATTACCCATGTTCAACTAGTACAAATTAATACTAATCTCAAGTGAATTTACACTGTCTTTCAGAAGCATTCTTTAGGAACTATAGGAGGAAAACAAGCCCTTAATCTTTCTGTCTTTTGAACTTAGATTTGGGGGTGAGAGGGTGGGGAGGAAGAAACTTGCTCATTTGTAACATCAAAACTAAAACTCTTAATAGTAAAAGTCAGATAAATGTCAAAAGTAAAATTTTATATGGGCAACCACCCATAATTAAAAAATTCTATTGAAGGAAACAAAGTAAGCCCTAAAATACAAAAAGTGTTCCTGTGAAAGTATAAAACTATATAAAGCTATTGTTATACCCATAAGTAAAGACACAGAAGGAAGTAATGTCCTTTAAAAAAACCCAATCAATCACCAAAAAGCCCACCACCACAGAAAGAAAGAAGCTATACATGTGCAAGTTTTCCTTAATACTTGGCAGGATGGTAGGGAGGAAAGCAGAGAAGGACCTTTCCTCACACTTTCAAACTTCAGCCAAAGCTGACATGGTAAATTGTTCTTTCCTTCCCCTATTTGTGAATAGCTCCAACATCCTTAAATTTAGTTTAAGTTGTCCAATTTGCAACGCATAGTTTTGATACACAAGCATTCCAAATAGGATGATCAATCTACAATCTGCCTGGCACAGTTACTTCAGTAACTTACTTGGTATTGTTTTCATTCTCCCAACTGCTGATTTATGTAACCGACAACCACCAAACTGACATACCAAATTTTTCATCTGCTGATTAGCCACATAAATTATCCACTCATGGAACAGGAACAATAGGACAATATTTAAATAGCCAACACAAGATAAACTATAAATTATGTAAACAGGTTCTTAATTCATGTAGAAAGTATGTCAAGTTTGCTTTAAAATGATTCTGAGTAAACCACTTTGTATTTGTCATAGCTTCATGGAAAGTGCTGTCACACTTGCAACCTAAATTGAAAACCTGCCTTGTACCATGGGCTCCTGGAGCCATGAGAAGCACTTCTGGGAACAAAGATCCTACGCAGACAACAGGACAGCTCTGCAAAGCAGCTCATCCCTTTAAAATTGAATTTAAAAACTAGCTAAAACTAGCCTATGCTATTCAGACAATGTTGTGAAGTGCGCTGTTCTTGTTTGTCAGAAACCAGAAGTGTTGCAGCACTTCAGTGGGTTGGGTTTTTTGTTTGTTTTTAAATATAAAAGGCAGTAAGGCAAGACCTTTGAAAACAGGGAGAGGCAAACAGCAAGGGATGGAAACAAGAAGGAAGAGAAGCCAAAGAAACTACTCACACAAGAAAGTTAAGCGTCTAATGGGTAGCGTGCCATATTTACATGGCATAAGAAAAAGTACTCCAGACACACGCTACCCCATCTGGAATAACCTTTCCAAGATCTACCACACAACTAAAAGACTCCCAAATTTCAGAAAACTGACATGAGAGTAAAACCTCTTCTAGAACTGCTGCTCTATTTCACCTTTAAAAAAGTGTGGCAAGATACTGTCTGAAAGTCAGCAGTATAAAAACGTTTCTCTCTTTTGCAAACAAGATCTTTTGCTAAAGTAAAAGTTGCCATCTGACTAACCGTAACCTAACTAGAGAGAAATGAGTCACCAGCAGAGCCAGCCCTTTGACCCGCTCGCTTAGTGTGTCATATTAATTGACACAGTAAGTTAGTGACACAAAGCAGGTTTTGGTTAAGCAGGAAACCCAGTGTAGTACAAGTTCTGCTCATTCAGATGAGCTCATTTAAATAGCTGATCAGCCCTTTGAACTCGTGGCAGATCTCTCCGGCACGGTGGTTCAGAGTTAGCAGCAACAGGAAGTCATGGCTAGAAATCTCGCACTACCCAGCTGATATTTTTTACTAGAGCAGGAGCCACATTGTTGGTGTCAAGGCTCTGTTTTCATTAAAGCATTCCTGCTGATTACAACCCAGCTTTGTTTTTCCGTCTTGTTAGTAATCAGCCTATTCGCTGCTGGTTTCCTGTTTTAACAGGGCCCAACTGAAAAGGCTCCTGGCCAGGCTCCACGGCTGGACCATTGGCTTACTGTTATTTACACCCAGAATAAAGGCCTGTGGACACGATGAGTAGCCCCAGCTGACCCACTAATTTATTTTGTATTAAAAGCAGGCTAGGGCCACGTTATTTTTGGTCTCCTCCTAAATACATTTAATCAAAAAAAAAAAAAACAAACAAAAACAAAAACCTTGCTTCAGTAGGACTAAATTAAAGCAGCACGAGTTCATTTGCAGAGAGGTCTGAGAAACCACACAAAATCCCAGTCCTCCACTTCCACCATAGCCACTCAAATGAGTAGTCCCCACTATTAATGACTTAAGAACTACATGATCAGCATCTCTTCTTTATCAATCACTTTATCCTCCTGGCTTCCCAGATGAAGTCATATACATGATTGAATGCACCACTGCGTTGTATCACAGCCAAAAGACTTTACAGGTCCTCCCGTAATCAGCTCAGGGAAGATTACACCTAGGATCTCGAGTCTAGGCTCAACACCCAAACGTTAGTTAACAGTCTGAAACAACTTGAGTAAAAGTACAGTGATGACTAAAGCTGATTTCAAAATAAAGTACTGCCACTCAAAAAGACATACTGAAATACTTTGACGGGGAGGACAAAGTATTTAGAGAGACTGAGATAAATAAAATGGAAGTTAAGCAAATGAAAAATTTAGGCTGAGTATCAGGGGGAAAAAAAAAACCACCAAAAAACAACTATCCCATTGTGTCGAGGAAGAGCTTCACTGAGGAAGTGGCAGAAGCCAATTGTTATTCAAAGGAGGACAAAGTATGCCACAAGGAACAATCTCTGCCCTCCAAAGAAGGAATGGACAAAAATCACCTTAAAGAAAACCTCCCACCCCTTAGGGTTCTCTGAATATCTTAAACCAGATTTTTTTATGAGCACTGATAAACAGAACCAGTTCCCATCTGAGGCTCCGATCCTGTTGAAACCAAGTTGCAGTAAGATTCTTCACATGTATAAACTTGAGCACATGCCTGTGCCTTTGCGAGACTGTGTTCTAAATCAGCTAATTAACAAACCGAGTATGTTCAGTGTGATTGCTATCACGTTATTATTTGTAAATGAAACTACCCACAGAAGAGTCCTCGGGGTTTTAATCCACAGGCTGTTAGCTTAAAAAAAAAGGCCACAAAAACAAACAAAAAGCCCATCAAAACCAATCAACAAGAAAAACACACCACACTCAAACACACAAAAAATTAAAAATCCAAAACACATACCAAAAAAAGAATAAAAATTTAAAGCGAGTTTAAAAACCGACAACAGAAATAAAGGTTTAAAATTATACATAAGTAACAAAGAACTACAAGGATGCAGAAGGGAATTTCCAGAGTAAAAAAAACTCTTTCCTCTGAATAAGTTTCATAATTTAAGAACCAGCTAATTTTTTCTCTGCACTTCACAGCTTGCACTCTACTGCTTCTAAACCAGCCAGACTTGGCTGTACTATACTTTTTTTGCTTTTAAATGGGATTTTGCTAGGAGTGCAAGCAAGAAATCTGTAATAAAGTCACTCTGAAACTTCCTGAATGAGCCTCGAATGCCAGATCACAAATAACTACAAGCCCAACTTCTATTAAAACAAAGGCACCCCAGCCCTAACATCTTTTAAAGTTTCCGTCTTTGTCTCCCCACCTTTTAATTTGTGCCACGCAAACCCCAGGCCCACGGCCCCTCTCAAAAGTTCTCCCTCCCGCCTGTCACCTTTCATTGTTTCCATTGTTTCAGCCCAGGATTTGCAATCCTCAAAGCAGAGCTTACACACACACACTCTCACACACAAAGCCCTACACATGCATACCTAGAAACTACGTCAGCGTTTTCTACACGCATTTATTTCGGGGGCGGCAAGAACAACAGTTGAAAGTGCAGGGAGTTTGGTATTTCACCAACCAGCAGCTGCCCTCGGGGAGAGAAGTCTGAACAATGGAAGCAACAGCAGACAGGAAACCAGCTCACCACTGCTGTGCAAATAGGGAGCATAGGAATGTCCTAAAAATAACTGGGCTAAATTAATTCAGTGAAACTATAAAAAAAAAAAAGGGGGGGGAGGGGATGGACGCGAAAAGCCACAAACTGCTCCCAATAGGGTCAAGAATCTCAACCTGCCTAAGACGACGGAAACATTTAAAAGCCAGCGCTGCCACCGTCTCTGCGCGCAGCCCAGGCTGTGACCGGGATCAAGCCCCACTCCGCTCCCGCGGGACGCTGCGCTCCTCAGCACCACCCTGCCCGCTCTTTAAACTTCGCCTTTGTGGCTCAGTTCCCTTTTGTGTGCGCTCCTCTTAGCCGAGTGGCACGTCCAAAAAAACTTTTGACGAAGGCTACAAACCATATTAGTACACACCATGTCTGCAGCAGCCCAATGATTTCACGAACTACATATGCATTAATTGCTCCAAGGATATTAACAATGAGCGAGGAGGCTGCCCTACTACAGAGCCGTAGGAATGCATAGCAGGGGGAAAACAGCACAACTCTGGAGTACTGAACATGCGCACTGCTCCCCTCTAACCCTCCACTTCGGAGCATTTAATGGTCTTTGAATGCAAAACATCCTTCAGCCACACCACCGACTGGCAAATCGCAACTGAACAGACACTGCTTTCCTGTGAACTTCTTCCCAGCCAGCGTAGGAGCGTTAAATCCGAAAGCACGTTCCGCGTCTTTGTGGCCAAGGAGTAATTTAAAGGCACTTAAAAAGCACCACGAGCGCAATGAGTAACGATCCTCTAACTGTAAAGTTTGTCTGTTTAGAACTGAACAAAGAAAGAAAACCTAAAGAGCCTTGTGCTTATAAGGAAAAAAAAGTCTTTCTCCTTTTAACCCTGTGTCAAAACTTTTGTACTTTTTGTTTCGTCCCGTTCTAAGGGATAAAAGGGATGGAAAAGGCATCAACTTTCAGCAAATCAAGGCGGCCGAGGGCGGGGAGGGGGTTTGAAGCCCTCCCGCCGATGCCCACCCCCCCCAGCCCCATGATGCCGTGCCCGCGAACAAAGAGTTGCCGGACAGCCCCTCTTTCCTCGCCCCAAGTTGGGAAAACGACCTGCACCCTCGTCCCCACACACCGGGACGGCGGGGCTTGGTGCGGAAAACCGTTTAAAAGTGTTTTACGAGAGGACGGGGGGGAAGAGGCTTGGCGAGGGGGGAGAGAACAAAACTTGGCGGAGGAGGCACGAGGCGGGCGGCTGGACATGTTTCTGACAGAGAGCCAGCAGCGCGGAGAGGCGACCGCCTCCAAACAACAGCCCCGCATGTTTTTGTCTGGGAGCGGAGCATCCACTGCAAGTCTTCCACGGAGCCAGGCCGGGGGTGTGGGGGTGGGGACACGGGGGACAAAACGGCCTAGAAGGTAAAGAGCCTCCGCCTGGCTTAGCGACAGCCCCCCTTCCCGTTTCCACCCCGGGCAGGTGCGCGGGGCACCCCGCTTTGTCCCGGCGCCCCATCACAACTACCTTTTTTACTTTTCATCTTGATCGCGAGGACCGAGCCGATCGCAGGACACCCCACGCACCGACCCAAGTTTCTCTCCCTTCGCCGGACGCAGCTCCCCCTTTAAGCTCGGCGAGAAGGAGAAGGTCGACGAAGAAAGAAGCAGCACCGCCGCGGAGCCAGGCGCCCGGTCCGGGGCCGCGCTGCTGTCAGCGGGAGCCGCAGGGCTCGTGCCTACCCCGGGGGTTTCTGTGTGGGCCCGGGGTGGGCTTCCCTCCCCCCTTCCCTTTGTTCCCTTCTGCCGGCGATTGGCCCCGGCCTGTTAAAGTGAGGAAAGGCACGGGAGAAAAAGGTACACAGCGCCCGCCCTCCCCCACCTCCCCGCACTGAGTACGGGAGAGTAACCGAGCGCTGCACTGGCACTCGCGGCGGCTGCCTCCTCCTCCTCTCTCCTCCCTCCCTCCCGGCCTGCTGGGGCTCTGTCAGACAGGAGGGGAGACCGGCCGGAGCGGGGGTGTGTCGCCCGTACCCGCTGCCTCAGGCACACACAACAGGCGGGCGCGGGGGGAGCTCTGCGTGCTTCCCGCTCCCTCGCCTTTCTTCCAGGCAGACGTTTGATCATTAAACTGGGAAGGAGGAGAAGGAAGAGGCGGTGGGGGGAGATTGTGACAGCTGCCCTTGACTAGCCTCCTCCTGTTGCTGCCGGACGAACCACCCACTCCTTCGCGTGAATAGGGGAGAAGAAAGAAGAGTTCGTACGGCAGGGGAAGGAAAAGAGCCCTCCAAAGACCGGCGCCCCCATTCCGGCTGCCGAACGGAGGCTGTTCCCCCCCCCCCATCCCCAGTGGTGCTGACAGAGCCCTGGTTGGCCGGTGCTGGCCACCTCCTGCCCCCGCGGGGAAGGCGAGCCCCATTTCTGCGGTTATTTTTACATCAGTTCGTAAAAGGTTGTTTTTCTCCCCCTCCACTCCCCCCGCCCGCGCGGTAGGTTTTGCTACGGCACATGCTCGTAGCTGTAAAAGAGAGAAGTCTCACAGCTTGACTCATCCCTCTCGGGCGAGCACGCGCTGCACAGCAACAGTTTATTTTCCTCCGGTATGGGAAACGCGGGACCTACCAGCAGCTCGCTCCAGCTTCCCTCCGAGCGTCGCGGAGGGGAGAGCCCTCCACCGGCACGGACGGCCTCGGCAGCTGCTCCCGTCCCCCCCCCCCCCCCCCTCCTTCCTGCCGCCCGCCTGACAAAGCCAGGTGCCCTGCTCCAAAGTGCGCAAGGACGCCCAGCCCGCGTGCTGAAGTGTCACGAGCGAAGGTTTCGCCGTGGAAAGTAAAAGAAGCCGCCTCGCCTCGAAACAGGCGTGCGGGTGCGGCATTGCTGATTCCACGGGAGCGCGTTTGTGTCGCTCCCGCACCGGCACGTGCGGAGTTACTCCCGGCCGGGCAGGCGCGGGGAGTGAGCTACGGGCGCCTTAAACGGCTGATGAAACAATCGATTCCTACGGCAGAGCAGGGATCGCTCGCTGCACACTACCCTCCGCTCCCGGCGGTGCGGGCACCCGCACAAATCCGCACTCGCTGTACCAGGCGAAGCAACAGCGTTTTAACAGCAAACCCTCCCCCAAGTACCTTGTAACTATTTTTATGTGGCGCAATTACAGCGGGAGATAAAACAGCTGTTACATCCCGACCGGGGGGAGGGAGAGCAGCTGGTGAGTCACGTCAGTTAACAAGGACCTGGTGGCAGCCAGAGGCTGGCGACTCGCTCCGAGATGGGTGACCCTTGGGGCTGGTGGCCGCTCCGTGGCGAGTGCGCCTGTAGGTCAGTGAGGCGAGCCGGGCACGGCACACTGACTGACTGACTGACTGACTGACTGACTGACTGACACTGACTGACGGTGCCGCGGGCCAGCGCCGCGCCAGGCGGGAAGTTGTGCGGCGCGGACCGAGGTCCCGCCGGCGGTGGCGCGATCCGGGCCATTACCCGCCGACCGAGTGCCCTTCGCCCGCCCTTCCCACCTCATTCCCGCCGACGTGCCCGCGTCACCCGTCGGTTGTGTCCAGGGGTGGCACAGCTCCGTAGTCCGGGGGACGAGGCTCGCTGGGGGCGGGTGTTTTCACACTAAACTGTGCCCCCGACGGACTGGTGGCTCGGGGGCGGGAGTTGTGCGCGCACGCCGCCGTATGGCTTTATTTTGGGTCTTTTACTGTTTTGTTTTTGTTGTGGAAAAGCCCAGCTTCCCAGCTGTGAGGGCTGGCTCTTCGAACTGGTTGTTCAGACCGTCCCGGGCTTTTTTGGTCACGCCAAAAAAGCAATTAGGGGAAGTTAAACAAAAGACACGTCAAGGATTCGGAGAGATTTTCTTTTCTCCGTGCCGCCAGAGCCGCCTCACGCCTGTTCATTGTCCTTGGGACCACCGGCAAATCTGTGAAACTAGCTCTCTCCCTTTTCTGCCTTTCCTTCTTTATTTCTTCCTTTTTTAAAGTTTAGGTTGACTTTTTTTTTTCCTCCCTTCTTTGGCAAGGTCACTTTTATAAAAGAAAAAAATAAAGTTTTATATTCAGCTTTCTTTTTCTTTTTTTCTTTTTTTTTTTTTTTTAGAGCTGTAGAAACAGCCTTTCTAGCTCTGCTGCAATGTGGCTTCCCATGATTTTTTTTAAAGGATCCTAAGAAAAGATCGATTTTGACTTTGTGTGGCAGCTGTTTAGCTGGTAGGAGCAGGTGGTGGACCAGTGGCTGTTCATTCCTAGCTGCCCTGGTATAAAGTGCATGAAGAGTCATTGTTTTGAACTAAGTTAGTTCGTAGGTGTGAGTACAGAGGGGTATACTCAGACGTGGGACCACTGGGAGAGACAGAAATTGGGTTTGTGCAGTTTCCATTGCAGTTGTTGCCTGAGGCAGTACCTCAGGTCTGTCAACAAATTCTGGTTGCATTTGCCACTTGAAGACTCCTGATACATATTCGTGGCGTTAGGGTGGATAAAACCCCCACAACCTTCTCTGTTAGTAAAGCTTTGACACACCTGAAACAAGGCTGTAAAAAGGAGGGCAGGTGATTTGCCTGAGCTTAACTCATTGAACGACTTGGTTTTACAACGAATGCCATAATCTGGTGGCCCACAAATTGATGATGCGCTGGTATTGGCTTCTACTAGCAAGCAGAAGTAGACAGTATGGAAGACAATATGTAATTTTCTGCACTTTTATCTTTTCCCTTCACATGTTGGTGAAGTTGTGTTTTTAGTATTACTTAATCTGCTGGAGCTACAGCAGCACTAATATCTTAGAAGCAGTTCACACTACTTCACAATGAGCCTCTGGCATCTGTGCAGCTCCTTGGGTAAGTAGTGGTAGACACGTGCATCAAGATATATCTATGCCAACAGGTTTAAACAGCTTGGTTTACTCAGAGCAAGTTCAGCTCTGTCTGGACCCATCTGCGTAGACACACTGTAAGTATTTGTAAAACTGGATGCCAAGAAGGGAGGGAAATGAAAAAAACTGTAGGGGTTAGCTTTTTATTTGCTCCATAATTGTCTGTAGACTTACCAATGTACTGTGGTGTTGTATGCAAGTTTCTGCCTTGTCATATTGCCACATGTGATATCTTGCATGACTAATTATATGTTTTTTATTTTACAAGTGCTTTGCTTTGAGGTCCTGGGTCTGTGTTTGCTTAACTGTTGAAGGCAAGGCTGTGTTTTGGGCATAGAAACTATTGAAGGAAGTACTCTGGGAAGACAGGACCTAGGCAAATCAGACTTGTGGATCTTTGTTATCTCAGTCTTTTTATTCCAGTTTCCCTTTTAAAAAACAGATAGCATCCCCTCCCACGATGTTATGAAAATAAAACCATTAATCTTTATGGAATACTTAGATGCCATTGAAATGTTTATGAGAAAATTTATTAAATTGCAGTCAGAACAGAATTAGGTAGAACACAGTTGAGCAGGTCACGCCTATGGCAATAAGAGCAGCGCAATGCCACAAACAACTTCCAGTGAGTAAATCTGTCCCGTGCATGGGAAAACAGGAATCGCTACTGTTGGTCACAGGTGTTCTTCTTCACCTTTTCTTATCCATGATGTTGACTAGTTTCAGTGTATCAGAGGAAAAGGAAAGGCTACAGAAGGCAGATGTGAGGTAATACTTTCCCATAAGTATCCAAATCTTTAATAGTTGGATACAAGCACTAGAGCAATAGTTTAATAGGTCTTCAGATTTTGTTACTGATCTAGGTGTGTAGTCTTTATACTGGTATAAAGTTTAATATCTTCATAGCATTAAAACTCTGTAATGGCAGCGAGTGGCAGAGTAGCATGTTGAGTCGTGAATTACATAAAAATGTATTTATTTTGATTTTTTCCTTATCTATTTAATTAAATATTATCTTGTGCTTTAAGACCAAAAAAACCCCATAAATTCATGTTTATCTTCTCTGTACTATTCATTATTTTATATACTTTGAGCATGACTGCTTTTTGACAGAAAATTTTTCACCCTTTTCCTATGAGAATTACTCCCAACTTTTGCTCATTGCCTTGGTTCTCTCGAAATTCTATTTAACGCTACGATATTCTGTTTTTCAGTGAAGATGACTTATGCTGCATGTGGTATTCTAAGCAAGGTTATGCCTCCAATTACAACATATATGTATTTGATAGTACTCTGTGACCTGTTTTTTTATGGAATCCATGTTATGCAGTATCTTTGGCTGCTGCTACATACTGAGCATGGGGCTCTATCAGCTTTGGAGGTTATATAGCTTGTTTGAAGTTTCTCTTATGTACAGTTTCATATTCATCTCGGTGGTGAATCTTTTGTTATTGCACTGTTCATTCATGTAACAGAAGTTGTACTGAACTTACTTTCAATCTCCCTTTCTCCTAAATACATTTTTGATATCTGCTGATTCTGGCATATTACTGGTTTTTACCTGTTCCTATCTCTTCCTCTCTCTGTGGTCTGTGTTATTATATTAAAGAACAGTAGACTGAGTATAGGACGCAGAAGGACCCTGCTGTCAATCTTTTGTCATAATAAAAAAAACCTAAACCCTAAAACATTTAATCTTACACTTTTGATTCACTTGCTCCAACCAGATTGTCATCCATGACACTTGTTCGCCTTTTTTCCCTAGCAATATCTTAGTTTCTGTAGTAGCTCCTTGCATGGAACTTTGTCAAAAACCTTTTTGAAATCTGAATAAATTATACCAACCAGCTGTGCTCTCATAATTCAAGCTCACTTTGCCACCTTTGTGCAAGGACAAAAGGGATAAATCAAAGTCATGAAGATAATCCTAAGATTTCAGGACTTCTCCATAATAGACTGCAACTTGAACATGCTTTTCACTTGTTTTCTGTGCACATTCTTGTAGTTATCAAAGATCAAACAAGAGCAGAAGCCCCAGAAATTCTTTACATAGAATCATTCTGATTCCTGACCGGTAGAGCATCATGTTTGCAAGCTTTTGGTTCTCAGCATGGATTCTAGTATGGACTCAAGGTAATGGGCAGTACTTACCATTCGTGATGAGGATCAGCTGCTGGAGTGATCTGTGCTTGCCACTGGGGTTTTCACACATTTATCGGCAAAGAGGAGCAACGATGACTTCTTTAGCAGGTTGGAGCGCGCTCTCTCTGGGGCCTCCTTCAGCTCTTCCCTGTGCCACCCCATTGCTCCCTCATCTCCACAGGGACCTCCCACGTGTCTGTGCCTCAGTATATGAGGATATGGAAATAGAATTATTACTGTAGAGACAACTTAATTTTATTCAGTAATGTTACTTATGATTATAAGACAATGCAGAAACTTCATAAGTGGCATAATCACTTCCACTCTGAGACTAAAAGCTGTGTAGCTTACTCTGGAGAGTGGTTTGTGAAACTTGCATTAATACAAATGCAATTTTGTTTCCATAATTTGAAGTCAAACCCCTGTGTAAAATTAAAGATAAAAAGTGAATTGTAGGTTTAATCTTGCTTGAAGTTACAGTCTTCCCCTATAGGTTTTAACTTAAAATAAAAGTACAGTTTTGACAAGGAACAGATCTCATGTATTCCTTTCAGTTATGCAGAAATTATAATTTCTGTCTAGCACAGGCATACCTCATAACTGCTCTGTCCTCTTATGTAAGAGGGGCTGCTCTGGCTCTGTTTTCTTTTGTGGCACGCAAGTGGGTGTATCAAAATCAGCATTACAAATGGCATGATCTTTACAGTCTCAGCTCAAGAACTTGGGGCATGCAAGGAAACAGATCCTTCTTTCCTGAAATTCGAAACTGTGGGTGCAATTTTGCCATTTATGCAATCAGGTTTTGCTTATCTGTAGGAAGTTAGGCAGGTAAAGCAGGTATGGCTGACCAAAAAAATATGTGGGTTTAGGGGGTTTTGTTTTGTTTTAATTGTGGGATGCCTAACTTGCTTTTACCACAGACTGCTTATTGCATACTGAAGACAAGGCAGGAGGCAAGAACTGCAAGGCACTGAAAACAAGAGTGACCTTGCTTAGCTGACTTTGTCTAACTAAAAACTAGATTGTCTATCTCCTCAAAAGGTTCTGTATCAGCAAACTATAGCTAACTGCTCAAAAATCACTGTATAAAGAAACAAAAACAAAGCCTAAGAGATATCTATACTTCATAGCTGATATTTTTTTCAGAGTAGAATGTTAATTGAAAATGAAATAACTCTTTCTTAATAGCTGTGTCTGGGCATTTTTATTCTGTTTAGTCGACTCTAAACAAAATTACTTGAATGGTCAGCCAAATATTTGTTTGGTTGAGTCTACACTGAAAGTTTGCTTTGTTTTTTTAAGAA